GCTGAAAACCTGAACCTGTAGTCCCAGTTTGGCTGCTGGCACTGGTGTTATCGGGCAGCATTGCCACCCAAATGGTTGGAAGCCAAGCAAATATGTATTTAACGGGAATTATGAAAATTGAAAAGTACAAGGTTTAACTTTTTGAAAAGCACCTTCTTGCCCCACATCAAAGGGTTCATTGATTTCTTGCTCAAGTTCTGACCAAAGTGGAGCTAAGTGGGTGAACAGAGGGGAGAAAAAGATCAAATCTAATCTTAGGAGCTGTTTCAAGCAGGTACTTTATGGTCCATCTGAAGCTGATCATGACACAATTCCTGAACATAAATATGATTTAATATGTCTGCCAAATGTTAGGAATCTGTCTGAGCATATTCTCCAGGTGAGAAAATAGCTCTTCTTTTCCTTTACTCCCTTTTCCCTGTCCTCGAACTTTGTACACCTTGAAAGCCTAAGTAACTATTCATGTTAATAAAGTGTTAAGGTGTTTGACCAGGAACATTGGCTCTGCTGATTTCAGCACTTGAAAAGGGAAACCGCTTTGTTGTTTTAACCACTTCAGCACTCACCATCTCAGTTTATTTTCTTATCCCATTTAACTTCTGTTCAAAATCAAACAGGAAGCAATTAAGGTGAACCTACTACAAAGCAACCCTTAAAACACACAGCTGGGGCCCCAGCGTAGAATGAAGGTCATGCCCCAAAAATGTAATTAAACATATTTGAAAGGAATGTGGAGCCCCTACACTGGAGCAACCGGTGTAAAAATACAATGCCTTGACTTTACCTTCATCTGGCAATGACCATGGCCAAGACAGACATTGTTACCAGAACCTTCACTGACTCTCTGGTGGGAACAGTGGTTGAACAAAAAAGCACATAGAAGGGGGAAAGGAAGAAACCCAGCTCTCTAAGCTGTGAAACTATCAAAATTTCCTCTGACTTAACTCCCCTTTTGACTTTTGTCAGGTCACTGCTGTGATGACAGGGAGAGGGATGTAATGGAAATAAGCACCTAATGATAACAATGGGAGACAAAGCAAAGTCTTTACACAGGATTTAGCTAATTATATTTTGGCCAAATATTTATTTATCTAAAAACAAAATAAAAATTATTTTTAAAAGAAAAAATGTATTTAAATAAAAAACAAAATTGTGAAATGTTATGGCACAGAAGTTTAGACAAGTATAAATCCAGTTGCCACAACTGTTGCGTATTAATGTTGCACATTTTTCTATAAAGACTTTATTAAAGGTATTTACATGGCAATAAGATGTGTAAATATATACAGCATTCTGGGGACAATTTTTTGGATTCTCATATGAAAAAATGCCTTAAATACAAAATTTTAAAAGAAAAAAATTTGAAGAGTTCATCCCCAAGCATGAAGAATGTCCCATCATCCCTTATGCCCAAAGTATCAATTATGAGGCAGTTTTGAGGTTCTGGCCAAACCCTTGGGAGATTCAGCCAAGGTTGTGTAGTCTCAAGTTAAATCGCACAGCATGCAGTTGCAATAGTTCCATACTCGATGGACTGGTGTAGTTCATGAATGATATTAGAAACATTAATATTTTATCATAGTTTCAGTCTAGTCTGGGTTATTCTAAGTGATGTCCCAGGGCTCCTACACACAAGAGTTCCTTAGCTGCTCGAGTTTGTGTTTCAACTGTTCTCTCCTCCGCCTCAACTGCTCTTTCTCTGCAATCAGTCTGTGTTCATCTGACTGGATGGAAAGAACATACTCCGTTGCTTTTTTCAGGATGACAACCTTGGGCGCCTTTTCGTTGTTGGCCACCTCAGGTATCTGATCACGCAAGGCAAAGAAACTCAGCTTCAGCTCGTTTCTCCTCTGGCGCTCCAAGACATTGTGTGTTCGCCTCTTGTCGTTCTCTTCCGAATCTGATGTGCGTGGACTCGAGCATTTTCGGTTATTGCTGATCTGTTTGAGAACTCTGCCACTGTCCAACTTTAGCCTTTTTGCAGCTGGGTATTCAACCTTGGTGGAAGGAGGAGCAGCATAATTGTGCTGATGGATGTTGACGTGACACCGTTTGAGAACCAGTGGGCTGTGGTGGGGCTTACTGTTCTCTTCTGATGTGTCTGTGCTGGACTCTGTGCTGGATTCGGATTCATTTGCTTCAGCTAATGTAACAACATCAATTTCCTCATCTTCCTCTTGTTCTTCTTCTGCAAGGGGAGAAAAAAAAATTCATAAGCTGATCTGTGCCAATACCCTCAAGACAGCTGTATTTATAAGGGAAGGTTACTCTGAGCTGCACAGGGAGGAACCCATTGACAAACCCTTCTTAAACCCATTTGATGCTGCTGGACTCCACTTTCCCCACGAGCCTTTCCTTTAAGGAAGCATGGCTTCAAGTGCAATAGGACACACGGACTGCGCTCCAAACCCCAGCTCCCCGATTTCAAAAGCTGGAAAGATCTTGCATAATTCTGAGGAGCTCATGAAAGATAGCAGGAAAGTTTAACCCCGGTTGTCAGCAGAACAGCGCAATAAAGCTCCCAGACTCAAGCTGCCCTTAATTAAGGATTTAGAAGGCTTTGGCCACGCCTCAAAAGAAAGCTTACTTAACACACATGTGTATTCACAGACATTTTCTGCATCTCTCTTGATCTGCTAATTTGTGGAAAATCCACGGTGGTGGGGGGGAGGGAAGGGAAGGCTGTAGCACTTTGAGTAGAAATTCGCTTTCAAACCAAATTTATGAGGGAGCGGAACACGCTGTCAAATAGCTAAGGAAGCATTTCTGAAACTTTCCCAGCCCCATTCACTCCTCTGCAGTCACTTTCACTAGCACCTCCCTGACTGCACATTCCCCCCGCGGCTCTCGGGCGGGAGTTAACCCCTTCCCGGCCCACGCGTGGCACCGGCAGCCAGTTTCACCAGCACACCGCGGAGCAGACCGACTCTGACCCCGTTTATGAAAGTTTCTCCCTCCCCTTCCTTT